TCCATGTTGCAACTTCTTGTCAAAATACTAACAGGCTAAAGTACAGTCCTTGTCGGAGGCAGATCTCGAATTCTTCAATCCATTGATTCCATTCTTTGTTGCAACTTCTTGTCAAAATATTGAGACGGAATTACTGTCCTTGTCCAAGGCAGATGTCGCCTCACATTTACCCTGATGAGCTTGACACTCGCCAGATGGACAACCCCTAAAATTTCCTCCTCTTCTTAAGAAACTACCATTTGACCATATGCAGTAGAAAAGCGCTTTTTAAAGCATACCTGATCAACTTGCCCTAAAGAATATGCTCCTGCATATCATGATTTACCAAAGTATAATGAGTTATGATTTATAAAACCTTAAACCTCAAAATTTTGCAACCTAACAGGGTGGTAATTGAGCATCCCTTTTGCTTTTAAAGGCCAAAAGTGAGTTCCTAATGAGGCCAAGGCATAAATAAGTTACATTTGGTTTTTCTTTTCCTTCAAGGGAGCAGAATGCTCTACTTAGTTTTGCATGACTTGAGCTTCCTTGATTTTGTGTTTGTGAAAACTGAGCACATTGGAAGCTCCAAGAGATTAAATCTTAAGCCTCTAACCATACAGAAAGACATTATTGAAAGTTCTTCTTGCTTTGTCATCTAAAAGATGGAATACGTGGCTAAAGAATGGGTGTAGGAGCAACCCATGCAATATTTGATCAGAAAATCAACAAGATTTTTTATCTCCTATGGATGTGCTACCAGAAAAGCTACACAAAACAAGAAAAAGAAAAATGGTACGGCACCCAATTTTCAGATTGAAATTTGGAGGACATGGAGTCCTTAAATATATAAACTAAGACATGGAGGTGGAAAATATGCAAGTTTCCAGAATCTGAGCTTCAGTGCTGCAAGCATTGTTAACTAACCTTGAAACATACACATCGTTATTTGACTAGACTAAACCACCTAAAAACACAATCAAAAAAAGGGGGAAATTCTACTTTAACTACTCACTATAATAACACTCTTCTAGTTTTTTGGCGTTTAGAGGAACTAAAGAGAGTCCAAACTCAAGCATTAGATGGGGAGGGAAAAAGGCAGAGTATAATATCATATGCACCCGAGGAAGAAGAGCCCTTTGGATATTCTTTCATCTCTTCTTTTGGCAATTGAAAGCCTTGGCTGTTTTCGCTTTCATGTGGCGGTGTAATACATTTATCTGTAGAAAATTTCGCTATAATGGTCATTTTCTGAAAAGCTAAGGCACAGTAAGAGTGTCACATTTTTGTTTGTTTTTTCAGTTTTGTGGTTATGCCATCTTTCTTCATTTGTTTTAGACAATAATTAAATTTTCAACTTTATTAATAAAGTTTCTTTATTTCTTTTGTGGTTATGCCTATCTTGTTTGTTCTTTGGTATTAACAAATTCTTACTTACCAAAAAAAAAAAAAAAAAAAGTTTCATTAGATATGGTTGTTAGCAACTATTACTATATACAAGTCATTAGTATGTTTAATTTATACCAATTTATCAATTTAGATGCACACATATAACATACGCACTAATATTATACCATATAAAACCTTTAAAATAAAACTAACCCTTACTATGTACTTAAAAAATCTCATTAATTATTAACCCATGCAGTTTGCATTCACTCATGCTGCCAACTACTCAGTTTCTAGCTAGTTTTTGTTTCTTATGATATCTTTTACTCTAATGAAGCACAGAAATGAAGCGATTTTCCATTACAGCATAAGTTATCAAAAACCCACCATTTCTTCTGATTTCTGTTGTAATAGAAAATTGCTTCATTTATCAAAACTAAACACTGTTCAAAATCAAAGATAAGTTCAACTTGGAAACATAAAATTCTCCAAGATTTTGGAAGCTTAATGCATATAATGAATATATAAGTTTCATTTTATAAAGAAATTGTACAATGTCTTATTTCCTATGCAGGAAGGAAAAGGAGAAAATGCGAAATGGTCCACACGAAAATTGGTTGCCGGTCCTATGCTGCTACTCTTCCAGGCTTACCCGGGCAGGTTGGTTTCTCCCTATTAAATAATTCTTTCAAATTATTTGACTCTATTTCATTGGCTTCCTACATTACTAGAAGCTACATCACTTCTTCTGCATCGAGGAAGCAACCCATGCCATGTGTCTTTCTCCATTCTTCACATCTATGATATAGAGATAGGGTGTCCTCAATTCAACTAAGGTAGCTGGCCATAGGGTGGCTATGAATTTAAAGTTGGACATACTGATTTGACCAAGCTAAATAAGAAGGAATTAGGACAGGCTAGGGTTCAGAGAAAACTTGTAATAGATAACAATAAGAATAACAAGAAAAATACTAGTCTGGTTGTGTTTGGATTGCATTTTTCATGAAAAAATTATTGTAGTGATTTGATGTATGTGAGGGAAAAAAGTAATAGGAAAATGTGATTACGAAAAATGACGTAATTTTTTTACGGAAAACAGTAATCCAAGCTCCCTTTCGTCTCAAATTATTTGTCGCATTTCGGATTTCAAATTTTTAAGAATATATAGTAACTTGTTAGCTATGTTAGTGAACTTATTTTTCAAGTCGCCCTCTGAAATATACATAAAGACGGAGATAACATTAATTGAAAATAAAGATAAAAAGTAACTTTAATTTTAGTAAAATGATAAATATTTTTGAATATTTCAAAATATGTTAAATGCATGATACTTTCAGTGGATAGAAGGAGTAGATTACTCTTCTCCCTGCTTAGTTCTGCAATGATCCAAACAGCCTAGGTGTAGGAGCTAGAATGGTTCTGCCCTTTATTGAACCTTGACAATGGAAGCTGTACTACTACATTTTTTTCTCCCATAGTTTTTTCTCATCAAAGGTCACTTAATGGATTAGCTACTACTAGTGATTTTTAAATGCTGTTCCCAGTTTGAGATTCAATTGAAAAAAAAAAAAATTAAACCATTTGGCTTGTTTATGCTGGATTAATTGTTTGACTAAGACGAAAATCAAATTAATGCTGATGTTGTTGTTTTTCTAAAAGCTCGGCCTACGCGGGAAGCTCCAACAATTTTAGACTTGTAGCAGTACTAAAAGCCAATAAATACACTAATGCTGTAGACTTTGAATACTAATTTGTTGGAATTCAAAGTATGAACTAAGAAACAACAACATTTATCCTATAAAAAATAGGTCATCTTTTTATTCATCAATTTTCCTTTTATAGAGGTAGAATAACAAACCAATCACAAATATTTCCTGACAAATCTCAACAAAAAAAGTACTTGTTAACAACTCAACATCATCATCTGACAAATCTCCTAAACAATTTCAACAAAATTTTGACAATTCCTACAAATGAGAAACAACCAAATACTGCAAACGTAGAAAAACTCCTAATAACTAAGATTTATTCAACAAGTATTTTATTTATTCTAGTGCTAGAAAATTCAGAAAAAAATTTGTAGAGAAGTTGCATATTCTAACATTCCTCTTTGCTACGTATATTGCAGTTTTTCAATTGTCTTATCAAACTCTCAAGATTTTCAATTGCCTTGCAACAAGCTTTTTCTTTCGATTTTTTTGTACAAGCTGGTGATCAGCTTTACACCAAAATACTTCTTTTGGCATCAAACTCCAAAATAAAAGATGGTTTCTTTGACGTAGCTAAATAACATTTTCATAAGTTCAAAGTGGAACATCCTTCTATAATATTTGAATCTAAACAGAAAATGTAAAACACATGAAATAATTATTATGAAATTCCCAAATTAAAATTTCTGCATGGCTTTTCATAAACCTTGTTATCATCGTCATCTTTAGACTTTTCTTCAATTGTCACAGCATAGTCTAAATTTTTTGAGGATTTTTCAATACCTGTAGATGAAAAAAAGTCACAATTATATTCTTGATCAATATTAGGAATTAGTTTGATACTTTTGGACTTATCAATAATCACCTCCTAAATTTTTCAAGATCTAAATTCTCAATTTCAACATACTCCACTTCAGAATTGTCAAAATCCAGCCAATTCAATGTGAAATTTCTTTCTTTTATATTAATTAAGAACAATTCATTCTCAACTAAATCATAAATAACATAAGCCATTATTCTTGTGAAAACGATATCGAAAAATGATGTATGAATGCCGGCCTTCAATTTCTATCTAACTGCAACTCCATGATCCTTAATTTGTGTATCTATCAGATCTTCAAATAGTGCTAGAACATAATTTCTCTTTATCGGATCCCAAAGATCATTGATTGCCATATAATTTCAAAATTTTATGACCCAAATTTGGTAAATTTCACTACTAAGTTAGAGCATTAGACACAAAAGTTTCTCCCACCATTTTGGTTTTAACTATAAAAGATCCTCACCATATATGCCTTTCACAAAATATCACGAGCCTTTAAGATAAAGGCTCTTAGTATCGCTTTGAAGATTTTGAATACCAATTTGTTGGAATTTAGGGTATAAATTAAGAAACAGCACTTTAACTGTTAATGCTACAAAAAAATTGGCTCTCTGTTTCATTCACCAACTTTCTCTTCTATAGAGGTAGAGTAGCAAACCAATCACAGATATCTCCTAGCAAATTTCAACCAAAACATATTTGTGAAATTTTGAATATTTCGACAAACTAAAAATAACCAAATACTAAAAATGTGGAATGACTCCGAACAACTAGACTTATTCAACAATTATTTTATTTATTCTAGTGCTACAAAATCTAGAAAAATCTGTAGAGAAGTCACAAATTCTAACCCTGAAATTGTGCAGAAGGTGTATAGGCTTGCTGGAAACCTAGATTTAGCTAGAGTACAATTTTAGAGGAAATGGAAATGTCGGTCAAGCTGTGAAAATTAATCTGGCATACGGGCTTGCTAGAAACCTAGTTTTAGCTGTAGCACAATTTTAGAGGAAATGGAATGAAAATTAATTCCACCATAGGGCAGTCTGCGCTTATGGACTTATAAATTGATGGCCAAGTGTTGTGTCCCTGCAAGTGCAACCCATATCAACTTGCTAATACCGTCTCTTGTTACCTGCTCACAATGGCCTCGTTTTCATTCAAGTTTACTCTGCTAAGCCTTCTGGCTATCTTCGCCAATTCTTGGATGGCCATAGCACGAGATCCGGATATTTTAACAGATTTCATAGTGCCACCAAATCTGAATGGAAGTGAGATCACCGGTCACTTCTTTACCTACCATCTTAACACAACTGGAAACGGAGGTCCAGACGCACGAGAAACCGATGTCACAATGGATGAGTTCCCAGCTCTTAATGGCCAAGGTGTTTCACTTGCTGTTTATACTTTCCCTCCACGTAGCGCATATCCAACTCATATTCATCCTCGTGCTTCTGAGCTATTTCTTGTCACCAAAGGCAAGGTTGAGGTTGGTCTTGTGGATACCGCTAACAAGCTCTACAAAAACTCCCTTGGAGCTGGGGATGTGTTTCTGTTCCCAAAGGGACTAGTACACTATCAGTACAATGCTCTTTCTAGAGCATCAGCATCAGCTGTTTCTTTCTTTGGTAGTGCCAGTCCTGGAGAAGTTTCACTTCCTACAACTTTGTTTGCAACTGGTATTGATGATGGAATTCTCGCAAAGATATTCAAGACTGATGTTCCTACCATTCAGAAACTCAAGAGTGGTCTTGCAACACCCAGGTTTTAGCTCAACTCGATGCTGAATTTGGTCCTTGCAGCCCCTTAGTACTAAAATATAGTAAATAAATTCCCAATATAAATGTTGGGATCCTGTCATATCTCATAGGTCAGATCCTATACGTAAGAATTTGTCATGAATTTGACTACAACACGACTGTTTTTAATTTCCCAGTATGAATGTCTCCAATATTTATTATTTAAGGTCTAATGGTCCCATAATCATGGAACCGAAACATTCGGGTTCAATCAAGAACTCACAATAGACCCTCAAGAAAAGGTAATTATATAAACGTACTGCCGCTAGTTTATAATAAAAGCGCACGGTATTAAAGGTTCCAATGAGCTAGCTAAAGAAAATGGTGGTCACCAATGCAACTCTTGATCGATGTATATTTCCTTAATCGGATATCTTGGATGAAGCAAAACAATTTATGAACACGTACATACGAAGTTGCATGCATATGCAAGCCAGAAAAGAATGTCAGCAGCGTATCTCTTTTGAACTGGTATTCCATAAACGGTTACATTCTATTATCTTACGCTACAAAATGTTCCATTTTCTATGAACCCCCAAATTTGGAACGTTCCATGAAAGGCCAATTTTAGGTAAAATGGGGCCTTATGCTGATTTTGATCATTGAACCTGTTGCAGTATATATTAGTAGTAATCATCCTATTGACTGGGGATTATGGTCCCTCTTGTGCTGGTAATCCTGCAATTTCCTTGAGAGGTTTCCACATGAACTTCCTCCTGCACCATGTATAGATTAATCAATTAATAGCGAATAAAGATTACAAACGTCCCTATAAAACATTGTGATTTCTTTCTCTTTTAAAAGGAGATTAAAGCCTTGCTTAAAAAAGAATATCAGGAGGTATAAACAGAGCGATTAAGGTGGATTAGTTTACCAGTTTCCACATTCTGCAATCACTCTGACTCTAGGCCTCAAAGTAGGAAGTAATGCAAGAAACTGCAGTTCAGCCTTTGACAAAACCTAGAAGATCCAAGCCAATTAATAACTTTAACTGAAAATTCATCAAATAATTGGAGTCTTAGCTATCAAGAGCAAAAGATTTTCTGTTCACCTTTGCTTCAATTATCCAAACCACAAGTCCTTTGGCATTTGGCGGAAGTAGCGAGAGCCTATAATCAACTTCTGGTGGGAAATACCACCTAGCAATTGGCTGCTTCCCTACATGGGGCTGCAACATTATTGTATTTCCAAGAATTCCAATTATATTAAAATCTCATCCACACTAAATTAAAATGTCAACAATAAAAAAGAAAAAAGAAGAGCAAATTGTAAACTAAAACAAGGCGCAATACAATACATTTTCTTTTCAACCAATCAGTGTTAAATTAAAAAGAAAAAAAAAAAAGGGCTTACCGGACAAACAGGGTGAAATTTAGTGAGAGTGGTCTCGGGATCACCAAGTCCACGAGCGGTGAGGTCCAAGAAATAATAGCCTTGATATCTTAGCCTGTTGAGGTAGCGACCCTCATAGCCACCCTCATGAGGAGGGTAGATGGCTAAGGCTTTGTGCTCTTCAACATCTGACAACCATTGGCCTAAATCAAACTTGAGAAGATCGCCTCCAATGAAGTCCTCTAGACTAACATTACATGCAACGTTTGTCTTCCTACAGTGCCCTCCACCACCTCCAATGTTTGTCTGCTTTCTGCTCATATTCAATGTGCTTCTTGTCATGCTGGGAAAAATTAGCCTTTGTTGCTCAAGTGTGGATGAAGGTAGCAGAATTCCATGGTATGAGCAGACTGACGATGCCATTTTTGTACCGAAATGTTTGTTATGTACAATACGGATGTGGCTGAGGGTACGCTATTGTTGAATTCAGAATTATATGGTGGAGAATCAAGATAAGGGACATCTGATTTTGGCACAATTGGACAATATGTAAACTGAGCATGTCACTGGCACTGGCACCACATTTTGCGTAGGAATTTTAATGTAATTTAACAGTTCCCTTTAGATGAGATGAGGTGGAGTTTGGGGGACCCAATTGTGGTGGCTGGCCATTACAATTTAGAACAGCATGTAAAATAGATTTATGGGTTAATTTCGTTTTGGTCCTACGAGGTTCTACAGAATATCATCTTGGCCCTCCAAAGTACTTAAATATCTTAATTTGGTCACTTCAAAAGTGAAAAAGTCTCAATTTGGTCTTGCAAAGTACTCCCTCCGTCCCAAAATTTTTGTCCCGCTTTTCATTTTGGAATGTTCTAAGACGTTTGTCATGCGTAGAAAGTTAAAAACTTTTTTTGGTATTTTTTCCAGTATTGTTCCTACTTTAAGTCAAATGCATGTTACATTCAAATTTAAAATTTGAAATTTAGGCATAAGATTGAAAAGAAAAATCCAAACATCACAATCAAAATATTGTTGGTAAAAAATTAGACTCCCAAAGTGTAACCAAAATTTTGAGACAGAGGGAGTAGCGCATAATCTCAATCTGCTCCTTTTATGGATATCAAGGACTAATTTTGGATTACCGTTTCTTGATCTCGAAGTGACAAGTTGATGTTAATTGAGTAATAAATTTTGTAATTAATATCTGTATGTTGAGCTTATCCACTAGTCTTTTTATTCTTCTTGTTGTGGTCCTTTAACGGGTTTTCCTTAAATAAGACATTTATTTTGAAGGATTGAACCTAGAAAAATAATTGTAACTGCAAAAAGAGAACTCTAACAAATTGTAGAAAGTGGTCGAAGAAATGTTCGGCAGTAGTTGTTTTGTGCCTGAGAAGAAAAAATTTTCAAACCATAAACTATAGAAGTCGGTCGAAGGCTACAGTTGGCCATATTCTTAATCTGAAATGCAGACTTTTGCAAGTTATATCTAATTGTCCCACGATACCACAGCAGAAGCTTTCAAAGGAAATAAGTTGAAAATGTAACAAATGTAAATATAAGTTAAGAGTTTATTGCTGTTTGTATTGGGCAGAAACATTGTTAAAGTACATAATTGAAATGCATCATCCATCAATTTTAAAATAAGAAAAAATCGTAAATATTACACATTCTGGGATGAAGAAACAAGATCGAACAATATGAAATTTAGAAATGAAAAAAAAAACACAAAATTTTGCAGGAAGTTTTTTTTTTTTTTGGAAAAACTTGTCGATTTGTCATATCGTATTGACTGCCCTGCATGACTTCCTAATTTGTCCTTGAGTGCCTGTGAGGACTTGGACAGCACCCAATTTAATCATGGCTTGGCCAAACTTAGTGGAAAAATCGACCCCCTTTGCTATTGCAGTTACCATGTCCCTGGTTGATGGATCCTGTGCCAATTCTTGATCAATTTGAAGAACTCCTCTGTGCAACAACATTATTTGTTGATAATAAGAGTTGTCAACAATTGACGAACTCAAAGGGTTCTGATCAAGATTAGCTGTGTTATCAATTGTTGCATTCTGAGGACATCTCATTCTCAGGAAAAATAATAGCGATGGGCTCATGGTATTATCAGGTTTACCACTGTTTTGGAAATTGTACAGACGATCTTGGAAGAAGGAACAATGAGCAACTCCCACCGTATGGCCACCTTTATATAAACAAACAAAAAAAAAGAAAAATCAATCAACCTTCTGAAACTTTCCATTTTTCTATTCTGATCAACTTTTAGATTTGTTGCTCGAGCCCATATACAAATTTTTTGGGGATAAATTTACACTCATAAGCAGCTTGTGCATTTTTTTTAAGGGATAGTGTCAAATTGCTACTATATATGTTAGTAAAGAAGGTCATGTTACTAATTAGTAGTAGTAGAAGTTTTCATAATTTGCATGTCCAATATATGTGGAGTAGAATTCGCATGCAGTTTGAAATGTGAAGTAATTACCAAGAAGATAAACCATGTCCACTACGCTAAGCCCTTTCTTGGAGAATGCAATGATGGAATTTGAGACTGATATTGAAGGAGCTGGGAGATTCACATTCTTTGCAAGCGAAACTGTCCCGTCTCTCCTTCCAGTGTGCACAATGTATCGCCCTCCTCCACTCTGCATTTACAGGAATTTTGAATTGAGTGATCAATATTGCCTATGTTGAGCTTGGTGAGAGATGATTTCATGCTAAACCAGGTCATGTTACGTGGTAAAGTATCAAATCACAGAGGGTAAAAGGTTCTAGTTAATCTTTTCTAGTTTTGTCTAATTGAGAATTATGCATGGTATGTAACTTTTCAGAAATAGAAAAATTAAAGAGAGAGGGTACGTATATCTATTTACCAGGGATACAGCATCTCTGGTAGCCATTGAAATGATATCAGCACAGGAGACCACACCCGGGCAGATTGCCTCAACAGCTGCCTTTGCCGCATCAATAAGACCATATCCCCTAACACTTAAATTTGGTACTGCAGTTTTCTCACTGTTGCTTCCATCCAGAAGAAGAGATGCATCACAACCCTTGTAAACAAAGTCAGAACGTCAGCAATCAACACAATGTTTTCTAAATTGCCAGCATAATTAATGAGAAATTTACCAAAAGATAAAAAATGTAAATAAAGAAGAAGAAACTTCGTACAGTTACAAAACAATCATGGAATTGCATCCTTAGTAGAGCAGGAGTAATTGTAGAATCGCTAGAGAACCATGTTTTGACAACTCCACCAACAATCACCTCAACATCAACCGTACCATTGCATTTTCCTTGGTAGAAACCAACCTTAAGTGGTGGTGAAGCCCCGTAGCATTGGCCGGAGAATGCCACAAAAACGAACCCGAGGGCCAATGCTACAGTGGCAACTTTCGACATTTTTTTTTCAGCTCTTAGTTTTTCTTTTTTGGTAATTCCTGTTTTTTTTTCCCTTTGCGAATTTGGATGCAGAGATATGCCATCTATTTAAAGAGTGAGTGGAGGAAATGTAGGTAGGTTGGAATGCATGCCTGGCACAACCATTTCTATGAAGTCAAGAAAGAATCAATTGATTAGTATAATGTATGGAACGTGCATTCACGTAAACAGACAACAAGATGGTTAGTTGCACGAAAGTACACGGGATTAGGGAGCATTAACCCATGCTAATATGTTATAAGTAATTCTAGTCGACGAAGTTGAGGAATCATTTGTTTCTGGGACAGGTTTTCCCGGAAGTCATCAATCTGGAGAAATTGGTTTTGTTTAATGATTTATTGGGACTTAATTATCTTTGCTGAAGAATGATGATCGTGGAGATTCACGGTTCTCTGTGTACCGATCCCGTACCCTTGAAGTTGGAAGGACTGTAGGAATTAAGCCAGCTAAAGAAGGTTATGTGTAATAAATCATTAAACCGAACATTTAACAAAGATTTGCCTTTACCGTTTTCTCCTTGCTATAAAATTCGGCCTAAGGGGAGGGTTAGATTAGGTGGTTCGAGAGTAAGGGAGTGTGAATGAAAGATTTTAAATTCGAGTTCTCCTATTTACATTAAAAAAAAAATTTCAACGTAAGTGTTGGCATGCAACAAAGTACTGGACGAGAGGGCTCCTTTGAAAAAAAAAAATGGACAAGGGGTGGCTGGGCTAATTCCTTAAAATATACGTATAAAAAAAAATTATCCGTCAAATGCACGTCTGACGGAGGGACTTTCTTATTCTATACAGGCCGTGCTGACTCAGCACGGCCGGATCACAAAAAAATCTACCCGGTCAACATCCAATTTGGGCTGAGCATTTGTGTCAGCGGATGTGCCAGCACGGCCGGATCACAAAAAAATCTACCCGGTCAACATCCAATTTGGGCTGAGCATTTGTGTCAGCGGATGTGCTGACTGGGCACGTCCGCACCTGACACAAACCTGTCAGCACGTCCCTCAATCTCTCGCTTTCTTTGTCTCATGTATATCATAGCAGCTCCTCCTCTGCTTGCATTCGTTCCTTCAGTTTGGCTTCGGATTCATACAGGTTAGTAATTTAAATTATTATTACAGCATTTATTAATTACATTATTTATATTATGTTAATTAAACATGTTAAGTAATTATGTTAGTTATTTATATTATGTTAATTAAACATGTTAAATAATTATGTTAATTATTTATATTATGTTAATTATTTATGTATTTACATGTTATATTATACTGTCATCAAATGACATTAATTAAACTTGTTTTCTGCATTGTGTGTTGTTGTTATAGTTTATTAATTAATAGTTAATGTAAAGTGTGATAATTTATTTATAATTTTACAATATTGAAGTGTTAAAAAAGAGTTAACTAGTGTATATAGTGAAATAGTGTTGTCGACTACGACTTATTGTTTAATCGTATAATTTTTGGCGAATTACTATGTAATATAATTCATATAGAAATACTAGAAATAACTAATTAAAATTATTGCTTTTTACATGCATAAAATATATTAATTAACTAAACATAAGAATTTTTTGGATTGCATAAAAAAATGAAGTAATCTGCAAATATTAATAAAAAAATTTTTGGATTGATATTGATGTAGATGAATAATTCATGTACGTAGTAGGACTTTTGTAAGATATCATATATGTTGCGTGCAAGGTAAAAATATAGTTAAAATAATTATCCAAAATATAGTTAAAAATGTAGTTAAAATATAATAAAAATATAGATGCAAAAACGTTGTCTCGAAAAAATAATTATCCGAATTGGTTGTATTATTATGTATGCCAATCACAATCACAAAGTGATTATAATAATTAATTCCTGTTTATTAGAATACATGAATCGTTCGTTAATTAACAACTATTATGCATTTAATAATGATTTAATAATAATACATGTGGAAAAGGCATCTAGGGACATGAATCATGAGGTTAGGTTAATGTATTTATTTTAAATATTAATGAAATGAAGTATATTTAGGATTACGGTTAAAATTTAGTTTAATCAGGTTAATTTGAAAATTAAAGTACCAAATTTTAAAGTACCAAATTAAAGTACCCTAACTCTAAAAATCCTAAAGCCTAAAACTTTTTTTTTTTTAAATGTTATCCGAGAGACCTTTGTGTCAGCGGACGTGCTGACTGGGCACGTCCGCTGACACAAATGCTCAGCCCAAACTAGATGTTGACCGGATAGATTTTTTTGTGATTCGGCCGTGCTGACTCAGCACGGCCCGTATAGAATAAGAAAGCCCCTCAGTCAGACGTGCATTTGACGGATAATTTTTTTTTATACGTATATTTTAAGGAATTAGCCGGCTGGCTGGCATACGAAGATGATGTAGCAAGGCTTGCAAAAATAAGCACCAAGGCAATCTTAACGTTGATATGGTATTATTGCGGAATCTGTGGACCTATTATTCAAGTAGTTTTCATCAGATAATCTGGAAAGAAAACTCACTCACTAGTGGGATTTTTATGTAATTTTTTTAATTTTTTTTATTAGATTTGAGTTTTTTCAAATTTGGTTGTCAAATTTGGAAATTTTTAGATCTATTAGATAGATCTTACCATAATATTTGGATTTGAAACAATTAATCAACAAATCAGATGATCGACGTATGGAGATTCTTGGGACTAAAAGTATGTTATCTTTTTTGTTTGAGTTTTTTTGGAGCTTTTTACCATATAATTTTTTCAATTCATTAAATTTGAAGTGTCAAATCTTCAGATTTTTAGTATCTATGTATGTTTGATGATATAACCTCTGCCGTTAGAACACAATTTAATGAAATCATGATGGTTTATCCGAAAAAAAAAATAGATGATGTAGAATTTGTGGAACTGTTATTGACTTGTAATGTGCTATTATAAAGTACGTAACAACAGCATTGTTAGTGATACTCTTCTATTTGTTGTTGAATTCACTCACAAAAAGCGCGGCATCATCAAACAATAGACACAAATATAAAAATTCATAAAATTAAGAAGGTGGGTAATCTATTAGTTTGTTTCTTTTCCTTAAATCGTAGACTGTTTAGTATAGGATTTTACTAGTTGGTAATGATACTCTATCTCGATCCTTTGTACATATTGTGTCGACCTATTATTGACACGTGATGTGCCATAATAAAGTGCGTAACAACAACATTATTAATCTTGTATTGTTGTTGAATTCACTTATAAAAAGTGCGACATTATCAAACAATAGACACAAATATAAAAATTTATAAAATTAAAGAGGTGGATTATCCATTAGTTTGTTTCTTTCGTTTAAATCGTATATCGCTTAGTATAGGATTTTACTTGTTGTTAATGGCACTCTATCTCCTTTGTGTATATTGTAAAAATATTAGAATGAAGTGGTCTTAGCGAAAAGTTAAGTATCATTTTTCAATTTTTTATTTTGTTTCTAGAATAACGATGCCATTTTTCTTTCTTTTTAACCTTCTAGATGTGAAGGATGAATTTGGCAACAAAGAATAGCATAGTGACAAAAGTACTTTGTTTCTTTTTCCATTTTATGATTACACAAGTAATTCACATTGGTGGGATGGATACCTAAGAACTGTAACTCCCTACGGACTGCAAATGATTAACAACATACAAATAGTGAGATGAAGATTAATATGTAGTTCAAGTAAATTCACATTTAATGATAATCAGTTCTTGACCAATAGTTTCTATTCCTAGTGCTTTGTATTCTCTTTACTGCTCCATTTTCTTCCTGTGTTACCATTTTCGTCATTATTAATTCCTTTTTCTTGATTACCATTGGTGTCATTGTCCCTTGCCCTTTTTGTTAACTGCCCTGCAAGAACCCCTAATCTCCCCCTGGTTTCCTGTTTGGACTTCAACAGCACCCATTTTAACCATGGCTTGACCAAACTTTGTGGAGAAATCGAACCTGGTTGCTATTGCAGTTACAATGTCCTTCGTCTCCAGGTCCAGTTGTTGATCAATTTGCAGAATTCCTCTGTTCAATTTTGTTTGCTTGTAATAGGAGTTGTCAACTATTAAAGAGCTCAAAGGGTTCTGATCCAGATTGACTGTGTTATCAACTGTAGCATTTTGAGGTCACCTGATTCTCAGGAAAGATCGCAGCAAAGGGCTCATGGTATTGTCTGGTTGGCCACTGTTTTGGAAGTTGTAGAGGCGATCTTGGAAGAGGGAACAATGAGCAACTCCCACGGTGTGCCCACCTTGGTTCAATCAAGAATTAAGATTAGTTATAGTCACCTAGGAAAATAAGATTTTTTTTCCCAATAATGAATAACTTTAAGTCTATTTGCATTAAATTAAAAAAAAAAAAGGATTTTGCCATTAGAATAATATATAAGGCGTGAGTACTTACCATGAAATATCAGATTATAAGACTGTTTTTAGTTTCTTTATAAATATAAGATTTCAAAAATGTTTTTATTAGTTTAATCGAACCATTCACAATCAATTCGTGCGTTATATTTAGTGACATGTAAAAAATTGCAAATGAAAGGAAGCCGGTACATTAATTTCTCAATATGAATTGATTTTATTAGTAAAATGACCAATTCTTCTAAATAAAGCTAATGGGCATTTAATAATTCTTCTCAAGTGTAATGAGATTGGATTATAAACAAATGAAGGAAAGGCATTAGTCTAGGTCTATAATCAAAAGACACAATATAGTTCAGTATCTCACAATCTGATTGCCAAATAACAGCAAATTCAATATGTTTATTAGAATTTTATTTTTATGATTTTCTTATTTTTTCAGATCTATGATTTTATGATTTTCAGTTTCTGCGGCATAGCTAATTATTTCTACCATTAGTGCAATGAAATTTATATCCTTCTATTTTATATATATATATATATATATATATCTTACTATATAATCTTACAGACATACATAAAATACCCAACTCAAGGTTACT